AAAAGGAACAAATAAAATCAGTTGTATGACAAAAAAAAAAAAGGATAGTCAGATTTATCATTTATCATAGTGTCCACACGGGGGGTTGGTAGGTAAGAACACCACATCAAAATGGAAGAAAAAATGTAAAGGAAGATAAATGGCTGCCTATACAGTCGCATTTGTTAGAAATCCGATCTGCAAGTTTCGAACATAGGTTTGAAATCAGTTGTTGGGATTACGACGGCTCTTATTTTAGTTTTTAGACAAAAACTCCGGCAAGTGATTTGTTAGCTGGAAGCAGGTTTCTCTACAGACCGGTTGTTTTCTATAGAAAGGAAAGACAAGTAGATTTGTGGGCATCATAGCGAGCAAAGAGCTGATAGAAAAATACAGCAACTGCTTTCTGAGATGCCGATTTTGTTATCAGATCATCTTTTGCCTGTTTCAGGCAGATAAATATTCGAGGTCTCTGCAACGGCCAAGAAACCTCGGCTATTCGTGTCTGAAGATGACCTTTTAGTTTAGGGCTTTCTAACAAATGCCCTCTTATATATTCAATCCTCCTGGGCCAACAGATTTTTCTAATGACGTCAGGTTGTTGGACCTTAGCCTGATGATTTTTTTTCTGTTTTATTTTCCCTAAAATATGCTGATATAAATAAGCTTCAGATTTTACATCTATGGTCACTTAAGCGGGCTCAAACATATTGGATTTTATTTTATTTTTTGTGAATAAATAAAGAGGAAATTGATTTAACATTTAAATAAAAATTTAAATTTCTTAAATGTCATGATTATATAAATTGGTTAAATTAAATTTCGAATTTTGTTAGGTTTCATTTCTACAACAGAGTTACATTTCCTTCCGATTTTTGTCTATACTGTTGTGTTAACAAACAACGATGAACAAAATGTTTAATCTTGAAAGAGGTGAAATTGAAAATCAAACAAAATGATTGTTCCATCTGAACAAGGAAAAAAAATTTCATTAGAACGGGGCATAGCTGTATACCTATTTGGATGGACAGGCAAGCCCATAAATTCCTCATAGGTTCAAAAAGTCGCTTATTCTCTAGCATACTACCAGTGTTCTAGAGCCTTGACATGATGGCAGCTGCCTAGGAAAAAAGAAATTAAAACTCAGAAGCCATCAATAGGACAAAAACTGCTGAATGAAATGAAGAGATTCCTCCTGTACTGATGTAAACCATTGATTTAGGTTCTATCCCATAAAGTTAAATAAAAAAATCAACACCCCTAGTGAAAAGCTGCTGAAGCTTTAGATTGCAATTTCGATTAAAGCATTGCTCACGTGAAAATGAAATAGTACAGCATGAACAACAGTGCACTTTGTGAGATAACTGAGAGTAGCAATAGGTGTACAACAAAGCAAAAGAGGTAATACCTTTGCCTCAGCAAGAGCCGTCATCAATTCTTCTGGCTTTTCTTTTCTAATACTTTTCTCATCTATATCTGCGGTCTAATCACATATTTAGTTAAATATCTTCCAATAGAATTCTTCACTAGAGAAAATCCAAATGCTTTTCCTTCCCAAACGTTCCAAAAAAAAATTATGCTTAAAAGCTCAATTTGAAGCCAACTTCAAAATAAATTTTCAATCCAGAAAACCCATTTTTTTTTAAATCATACTTGAAAAACCCAACTTCTGTCCTTTGGTTATAAGAAGGGCTGACTATTTTAAGTATGGCAATTCTTTTTGAGAAATTTCTTTCCCCTTTAAAGCCCCCTTTGGAAGTGATGTATATATATACCAGCCACTAGCTTTAACAAATTAAATACCGTGATTATAAACTCATAACCCATTTCAGCTCGGATTCGTTGCCGAGCCTTTGTGTAAGAACCCAATATGAGCTGGCATCAAATCAAATACCATAGTAATTGATTATGAAGAAACAAAAATAAATTCAAATCAAGAGTATGAAGGAGCAAGTGAGGTGGTCTCTCTCTTGCTCCCTTCAAAATTTTTAATAAAACAATGCAAACCAATTTCAAAGCTACAAAATTTTATCACAAACTTTAAGGTTGAGCTCTGTTCCATTGAAAAAAACATCAACTTTTCATTCCATGAAAAACCAAGTTTTTTTTCATTTAACTTTTGCTTGAACAGCCAAGAAAATGCCTGGAAACGAAGGATGTTTGCAATTTTCAGTTGAAATTTTTGTAAGGCTTTTGAGGTGAATTGAAGGTTGAACGGTGAAACGAACCTTAAAAGATGATTCTCCAGTGGCCATTTCTCTCTCTTTCTTACAAGCTCCGTTTTCTTAGGGATGCTGCTTGGATAAGCTGTGCCTGAAAAGTGAAACTACACACTTGCAAGTCTCCAAACACTTCGTATCTTCCACAGCTCGCTTGCTACGGTTCATTTTCCTTCCTTAGACGAAGTCAACCAATAAGGATTAGCCATGCGAGCAAAAGCTGTCGTCCAAAATTACCTGAAAAACTCTGCTTCAAGAATCGAGACCATATCTACTGTACGCTGTCTTTTAAGATTTCAGTCACGTCAGGAAAGAAAGGCCACAGTTGAAACTATTAAACGACAACATTTAGTTCTATGGTAAAGTGGTAAATTTCTCGTTATCGTTTTGTAACGCTTCTTCATCTTCTTTTCCAAGCAATGTTCTTGCTACTCAAGCTAGTATTTGCTATCTGTAGTATTTATATCTCAATTCTCTCACTTGGTTCAGCTTTTTTCACATTGATTTGGTTTGCTCTCTGTAGTATTTATATTTTAATTCTCTCACTTGGTTCAGCTTTTTTCCACATTGATTTGGGTTTGCTTTTCTGTTAAGGTTTTACTCTTTTTCTACATCAACTTTTCACTCTTTTTGCTTTAGACAAATTGGCTTCGTTTGCTAGAGTAATTGTCATAACTTTGATGTCTTCCTTGTTTAGGTTGTAGCCAGGCTGATGGGATCCAAGAAAAACCAAGATGAAACTCAAACCGCAGAATCTGAATCTGCTCCCGGTTCGACTTCTTTAAGTCAAAGATGGGAATCTGAGAATGGAGGGCGCATGACTAATGGTAATAATAATAATAATAATAATAATAATAGTAATAATAATATTAAGTATTATAAAATCATCAATAATACTAATAATAATAATAAGTGGATTTCAGTGAGTTTATTCATGCTCCCATTGACATTGATAAACACAGTGATTGTTTCAAGGAAAATTTTCAAAAGGTACGTAATTATTACAAGCATTATTAATTTTTGTTTTCTTTGCTTAACAACATGAAGTGGAAAAAAAAAGAAAAGAAAGATTCTTTTGTTTTTTACGTGTTGTTCTGATTAATGGTTTAATTATTTTTGGTGGGAAACAGGTGATTGACAGACGACTGGAATTGCAAATGATAAATTTGCAATGATCAAGTATTTTCACTTTTCAGAGGAAAGATTATATCTGGCCTTAATAAACCTGGGAGTTCTCCCCGTCCCTTTCTTATAATAGCTAGAAAATAGGAAATCTTTCCCATGCTTTATTATTTGGGATTTGAAAGTTAGGTGCAACAGTTTTTAAAGGGAACTGTTAAATAACTGGGTTTTTTTCCCTTATTTCTTAGGCATTGCAGTAAGAATATCTCTTTTTTTTTTAGAAAAAAAAACTGAAATTTGAGAATAAAAAAAGAATTGTCGGATTGATATTTGAATCTTAAATTTTATGGATTGATTGTTATCTTTTAACAATAAATTATTATTGTATAAATTAATTGAATTAATTTTGAATTGAATTATCTCTTTTTAAATTATGATTTTGTTCTATTCTTCCTACTTAAAGCCAAAATTATAATTCTCTTTCGCCTGTCTTGCCTGCTGAACTGTAACTTTGAGGTTAATTTTAAGGCAATGGAGGGTAGTATAGATTTCTTGACTATCTATATTAGATGAGGAAGATTTGTATGCTTGGAAAATGCTTCTTAGTGCGAAAAGGAACAAATAAAATCAGTTGTATGACATAAAAAAAAAAAGGAGAGTCAGATTTATCATTTATCATAGTGTCCACACGGGGGGTTGGTAGGTAAGAACACCACATCAAAATGGAAGCAAAAAAACAGAAAAAATGTAAAGGAAGATAAATGGCTACCTATACAGTCGCATTTGTTAGAAATCCGATCTACAAGTTTCGAACATAGGTTTGAAATCAGTTGTTGGGATTACGACGGCTCTTATTTTAGTTTTTAGGCAAAAACTCTGGCAAGTGATTTGTAAGCTGAAAGCTGGTTTCTCTGCAAACCGGTTGTTTTCTATAGAGAGGAAAGATAAGTAGAATTGTAGGCATCATAGCGAGAAAAGAGCTGATAGAGATATGCAGCAGCTGCTTTCTGAGATGCCGAGTTTGTTATCAGATCATCTTCTTCTTGTTTCAGGCAGACACATATTAGAGGTCTCTACTACGGCCATGAAACCTCGGCTACTGGTGTCTGAAAATGACCTTTTAGTTTAGAGTTTTCTAACAATTGCCCTCCCTTTTATTCAATCCTCCTTCCTAAAACATTTTTCTAACGACATTCGATTGTTGGGCCTTAGCCTGATGATTTTTTAAAATTTTTTTTTTATTTTCCAGTAAGCTTCAAATTTTACAACTAGATCACCTCAGGTGAACTCAAGCATATTGGATTTCTTTCTTTTTTTTAAAATAAATAAAAAAAAGATTATAAGGATTTGCATTTGAATTTTAGATTTATTGATTGTTACTCTTTAATGATAATTATATGAATTAAATGAATTAAATGAATTAAATTTTAAATTTTATTGGATTTCATTTCTACAACAGAGTTTCACATTTCCTTCCTTTTTTTTTTTTTTTGGACTAATATATGTTAACAAACAACTATTAACAAAATGTTTGATCTTGAAAGAGGTATTGTTCCTTCTGCATTAGGAATAAAAAACTTCATTAGAAAGGGCCTCGCTATATGCAGTCTATTTGGATGGAGATTCAAGCCAATAAATTCCGCATGGGTGCAAAAAGTCGCTTGTTAACGAAATTTATCCTTAGCTCACATTCGGAAAGGAAAGTTGTTGAAATAGAGCTTCCTGTATAAGTTTTTCTGTTAGAGATTTAAATAGTCCCATCACAGTATCAGTTGCCCCTATCTGCTAAACATTCAAACATATGCTCTGTCAGAGGAATTCATGAAAGGCAAGTGCCAAATACTCTCTCATATTGGCCAGGTCCTTAATGGAGCAGACAGACCACTAACAATGTTGGGATGGATCCTAACCTCCAATAAAACTACGTAAACCAAAATCTGGGAATATAGGTAAACCAGAATGTTGAAAATGAAGGTAAGGACCAGCCAATTCGGGGGGTTTAATGTCAGTCAGCCTTATTTATATTACAGGGGAAAGAAACATAAAAAAAAATGTTGAAGAATAATGGGAGAAAGCATCAAGAAAAACAAGCTCACCACTGCCTCAACAAATGGCAACGTTAGAGGGTGTTCTAGCATCAGACCTCCAGCAACCTTGAATGGGATTCCTTCATCAATCTGAGGACAGCTCGCCATCAGGAAAGGCTTGAATCAGGTTAAAAAGAATAGCTCAAGAAAAAAAATCCAAGTGATTACATTTGTATACAAAATTTACCAGGCTATCAATGACATCCTCTGGTATGTCATGGAAGTATACCTGTAGCACAATAACTAATCTTATTCTCTTGGTGCTGATCACAAATTGATTTAAAGAGAGGTAAAATGGATCCAGTTTCCAATTATAAAATGCTTCTATGGACCAAAAGTAAAGATTAGAATACAATTCATCATTGCTCTTCACCAAAAGCAGAAGCTAAATATATCTGGAAATAAGTATTACCTCTGCACTTTCCCATCCACCTTTGCTTGCTCCTGTTCTAATGTTAGTCACAAGAACGGATCCTACCACTGCTGCATTGCCCCCAGAATATCCTGCAACCATAGCTAACATTTAAATACATCTAATTTTTATAGTTTGAAGACATCACATTGCAGCACATTAAAGAAGCCTTTTATAAATTCCGTCGCTTCTTCCTCGCTGCTTGGTTTTTCTCTGATCATCCCTTTATAGACAACCACCTACACATACAGGTAAGAAATAACCTTATCTAATTTCCATGGACAACCAAGGAAAAAGACCAGAAAAATGGTGATACCTGTGACATATTTTATACAAAGCAGATAAAAATAATTGTGGTAACCAACATAAGTCCTAATAAACGAAACCTTTATCAATTAAACTCTTTTTTTCTTTTTTCATGGCCGATATATGAATGCTTTTCAGGATGATTCTTGGTAATTACCTTATCTGCAGTAATTAACAAGGTCGTGCGAGCATCTTTCTCTGGCATACTACCAGTGTTCTGGAGCCTTGACATGATGGCAGCTACCTAGGAAAAAAGAAATTACAACTCACAAGTCATCGAAAGGACAAAAACTGCTGAATGAAATGAAGAGATTCATCGTGTAATGATGATGTAAACAATTGATTTAGGTTCTATCCCATAAATTCAAATCACAAATCAAGACCTCTAGTGAAAAGCTGCTGAAGCTCTACATTGCAAGTTCAAATAAAACATGCTCACGTGAAAATGAAATAGTAAAGCATGAGCAACAGTGCACTTTGTGAGATAACTGAGAGTAATTACAATAGGTACAACAAAGCAAATGAGGTCATACCTTTGCCTCAGCAAGAGCCGTCACCAATTCTTCAGGCTTTTCTTTTCTAGTACTTTTCTCATCTATATCTGCAGTCTAAATCACATATTTAGTTAAGTTTCTTCCAATAGAATTCTTCACTAGAGAAAATTCAAACGTTCAAAAAAAAAAAAAAAATCATGCTTAAAAGCTCAATTTTAAGCCAACCTAAAAAATAAATTTTCAATTCAGAAAACCCATTTTTAAAGATCATACTTGAAAAACGCAACTTTTGTCCTTTAGTTAGAATCAGGGCTGACTAGCTTAAGTATGACAATTCTTTTTGATAATTATTTTTTCCCTTTTAGAGCCCCTTTGGAAGTAATGTATATATATCCCAGCAACCAGTAGCTGTAACAAAATACCATGATTGTAGAGACTCATAACCCATTCACTAGATTCGTTGCCGACATTGATACGTCAAATATTATCTGTCATCAAATCAAATATCATAGTAATTGATTATGAAGAAACATCATGTCCAGAGTATGGAGGAGCCAGGGAGGTGGTCTCTGTGTTGCTCCCTTTAAATTTTCAAATAAAAAACAATGCAAACCAATTTCAAAGCTAAAAACTATTATCACAAACTTTAAGGTTGAGCTCTTTTCCATTGGAAAAAGCATCAACTTTTCATTCCCTGAAAAACCAAGTTTTTTTTTTTTTTTTTTCATTTAAGTTTTGCTTGAACAGCTAAGAAAATGCCTGGAAACAAAGGGTGTTTGTCATTTTCAGATTAAAATTTTATAAAGCTTTTGAGGTGAATTGAAGGTTAAACAGTGAAATGTATCAATAATATTATGTTAATATTATAGATTTGATGATATTATTCTAATAATATTTCAATAATATTCTAGATTGATTTGATATTAATTTAGAAAACATTAGATATTGATTTACTTGATTATAGGAATTGATTTAGTCATTATTTCTATTGATTGTTTTTTTTTATTTTGTAATATTTTATCTTTGTATAAATAGGTTTTAAGTCTCATTATAATACATAAGTCATTATAATAAAGTTTTCATCATTTTCTTCTTTTTCATGGTATCAAAGCGATTTCATGTTTCATTTCAAAGGTAAATATCTTGGAATAACCAATATTTATTAATTCTCATCCTTAGTTTATTCTCATTTCTAACTTTTTTTTGTTTCTGTGCTTCAAATTTTTTTTTGTTTTTTTTTCCATCTTTAAAATTCATCTTTTATATTAATACTCATAATTTTTCAAAGCTCTATTTTTTTCAAGAGCTTAATGGCACGTATTCAATGAGAAAATATACAATTAATTTCAATTATCATTGATGAAAATAACTACAATAGGTAGGCTACAGCTATGCGTAATTATCTAAAAGGAATGAAATTATGGCTTGTTGTTATTGGAGAATGTAAAGCACTAGAAAGAAAAGAAGAGGAATCCAATGATAAATTTGTAGATCGACTAGCGAAATGAAAAAATAAGAATCTTTGAATTCTGGTATGGTACACTAACACCATTGTTTCTTCTATTAATGTACATTTAAGGCAATTTGAACTTGCTAAAAATGCTAGGGATTTTCTTGTCACATGGTACAACTTTACTATCCTTGCTCATCTATATCATATTTTAACCACTTTATCTTGCCTTCGTCAAGAATCAAGTCAGTCGATTGATGATTTTTATTTTAAAATACAATATTTATGGGACATGCTTGAAAATTCTGAGCCGAAATATATTCAAAGATGAAAGTGATGCTGGTAATTTTATTACTTATCGAAATCAAACTTACCTTATTCAATTTCTAATGGCACTTTGAAATGAATTTGAGAATACTATGTCTTTACTTTTTCGCCAACATCCCTTACCAACTATGGATAATACTTTTATGGAATTAATATATAAGAAAACTCGATTGGGTAAGAGTCAGACTCATAGTGTTGATACTATTGTTACTGTTGCTCTTCAAAAAAATACTAGCTCTACTTTTCACAAGTTTTGTTCATTATGTGAGAGGACTAATCATTTTGTTCAGAAATGTAGAGTTAAATATAATTATAACGGTAATCTAATTCATGATCTTTGTACTAACAAGACTGTTGCAGTAACAACCACTGAATCAAATACTTCTAAGCCCTCTTTTGAGGCTATTACAATCTTCACCACTTATCTTCAAACTTTGTTCAAACAAGTATTATTTCGATCACATGTTTCTGTCATGTCTGCTGCCACATCAGGTAATGTTTGGTTGTTTGATGTTGCTTGTAAAAATTATATGACTGTTGACCCTTCTTTGTTTAAAAGCAAGATACTTATACCTAATGGTTCAATTATTAAAATAGCAGATGGTTCAATTATTAAAATAACAAATGGATATGTCTTAAAAGCTAGCCACATCGGTAATATTGAAACCTCAAAACTATGTATATATGATACTTACCTTGATCCTAATCTTACCTTAAATTTACTTTTTGTTAGTCAACTTTGTGACTGTGGTCTTGATTTGCATTTTTCACAATGATATAGCTATATTGTGTAGGATCCTCAAACAAGTCAAAAAGTTAGGACATAGTGTAAGGTTGAAACATTATTTGAACTTAAAACTTTAAAAATTTCACAATATTTGCTTACTGCTGTTACATCTTAAGCAATCAACTCTTCAATTTCTTTAGATTTATGGTATTTTAGGCTAGGACATGCATTTATTTATTGAATAAAGTTACTTGCTTCCACTGGTGTCTTAGGTAATGTTTTTCATGATATTTTTTATTATTTGTCTTGTCAACTTGAAAAGCAACGTGCTTTACTTTTTAATAAAAGTAATTCTATCTTATCTACTCATTTTGATTTAGTCTATTATGATATTTGGGGTCCAGTTCCCATACTAACCTTAAGAGATTCATGTTACTTTGTTATAGTTATTAATGATTTTTTCATTATACTTGATATATTTATTCAAACAAAGAACTAAACTTTTATCCTTTTTTCATGAATTCAATAACATGATACAAACTCAATTTTCTAGAAAAATAAAAATTTTAGTATTGACAATGCTGCTAAATATATAAAAATTGAGTTTCGTAACTTGTTAAAGGATGATGAAACTTTTTCTCATAAGTCTTGCCTATATACTTCACAATAAAATAGTCAAGCTGAAGAAAACATCATCATATTCTTGACATAGTTCATGCTCTTTTCATTTTCTCTTCCTTTCCTGAACATTCTTAGTATTGAAGTTGAGTATCGAGCTCTTGCAGATGCCACATCAAAACTTTTATGGTTATGATGGTTATTTTAGATATTTTTTAATATTTTTATATTTTGTGATAATCAAAGTGTCATTTAGATAGCTCACAATTATGATTTTTATGAGCGTATTAAACATATTGAAATTATCTTTCACTTCATTCGTCACCATTTACTTGTTCAAACTCTTTAATTTGTTCTTGTTACTAATATTGATCAAAAAGCAAATATTTTCACCAAATTACATTCACCTTATCAATTTTTTGTCTAAGTTTTTAAATTCAAATTGGTCTCTATATTAATATCTTCAGTTTGGAAGAAAGGGGTATCAATGATATTTTAGTAATGTTTTGATAATATTTTAGATTGATGATATTATTTTAATAATATTTTAGATTAATTTAATATTAATTTAAAAAATATTAAACATTTATTTAATTGATTATAAAAATTAATTTAATCATTATTTTCATTGATTATATTTTTTATTTTATAATATTTTACTTCTATATAAAAAAACTTTAGATCTTATTATAATACACAAATTATTACAATAAAATTTCTATCATTTTTTTCTTTTTCAAAACGAACCTGCTCCAGCAGCCATTTCTCTCTCTCTTACAAGCTCCGCTTCCTAGGGATGCTGCTTGGATAAGCTGTGCCTGAAAAGTGAAAACTACACACTGCCAAGTCTCCAAACACTCCCTCAGTCCGCTGCTACGTATCATTTAATTCCTTCTTGAGAGGAAGTCAACCAATAAGGATTAGCCGCGCGAGCAAAGGCTGTCCACCAAATTACCTAAAAACTCTTCTGCTGAAATCCAGATCATATCTACTGTACGCTGTCGTTTCAGTCACGTCAAAAAAGGAAGGTATTCGGTGAAACTACTAAACGACAACGTTTAGTTTAGTCTATGGTAAAGTAGTAAATTTTTCGCTGTCGTTTTGTAACGCTTTTTTCATCTTCCTTTCCGGGCACTGTTCTTGCCGTGCAAGCTAGTATTTGCTTTTCCCTTGAAAGGAGTATTTATATCTCAATTCTTCACTTATCAGCATTTTTCACATTATTGGGCTTTCTAGTTAAGGATACTCCTGTTTCTACAATAACTTCCAAGTCTTTTCTGCTTATATAATTCTTTCGTTAGGCTAGAGTAAATTTACACTTGATGTCTTCCTGTGTAGTTTAGCAGGCTGATGCCTTCCGAGAAAAACCAAGCTGAACTCAAACTACAGTAATCTGAATCTGTCCAGGACTTCTTTTGTCATATTTGAATAGAAGGATTTGTGGCTTAAAAATAATCAATAATAAAATAATTATAATAATAATAAGTGGATATCAGTGAGTTTTTTATTGATGCTCCCAGTGATTGTGTCAAGGAAAATTTACAAAAGGTACGTAATTATTACAAGTATTTTTTATTTTTTATTCTTTGCTCAACAACATGAAGTGGAAAAAAAAAAGAGATTCTTTTGTTATTTATGTGTTGTTCTGATTAATGGCTTAATTATTATTATTATTATTATTACCATTAGCCATGAACCATCTCTTCTCACATTTCAACCCTTGACGTAAAGAAGTGGATTTCAGTGAGTTTTTTATTGATGCTTCCATTGATGAACACAGTGATTGTTTCAAGGAAAATTTACAAAAGGGATGTAATTATTACGATCATTATTGATTTTTGTTTTCTTTGCTTAACAACATGAAGTGGACAAAAAAAAAGAGATTTTTTTTGTTAATTACGTGTTGTTCTGATTAATGACTTAATTATTTTGGTGGAAAACAGGTGATTGACAGATTGGACGACTGGAATTGCAAATGATAAATTGCAACGATAAATGTATTTTCACTTTTCAGAAGAAAGATTATATCTGGCCTTAATAAACCTGAGAGTTCTCTCTTTCCCTTTCTTATGATAGCTAGAAAATAGGAAATCTTTCCGGTGCTTTATTATTTGGGATTTGAAAGTTAGGTGGAACAGTTTTTCAGGGAACTGTAAAATAACTGGGTCTTTTTCCTTATTTTTGAGGCATTGCAGTATGAATTACTCCTTTTTTTTTTTTAACAAAAAAACTGAAATTTGAGAATAAAGAGAGAGAATTGTCAGATTGATATTTGAATCTTAAATTTTATGAATTGACTGTCACCTTTTGACAATAAGTGATGACTGCATAAATTGATTGAGTTAATTTTGAATTCAATTATCGCTTTTTTGTACTATGATTTTGTTCTATTCTCCTAGTTACAGCCAAAATTATAATTCCCTTTCTCCTGTCTTGCCCGCTGAACTGTAACTTTGAGGTTAATATTAAGGCAATGGAAGGTAGTAGAGATTTCTTGACTGTCTATATTAGATGAGGAAGATTTGTATATTGGGAAAATGCTTCTTACTTAGTGTGAAAAGGAACAAAAAAAAATCAGTTGTATGACATAAAAAGAAAGTGATAGTCAGATTTATCATTTATCATGGTGTCCATGCATATATGGAGTTTTATCATAGTGTTCGGTAGATAAGAATATTACATCAAAAAGGAAGAAAAAGGACAACAAAGAATGTAAAAGAAGACAAATGACTGCCTCTACTGTTGCATTTGTTAGAAATCCTATCTACAAGTTTCGAACATAGTTTTGATATCAGTTACTAGGATAACGACAACTTGATTCTAGTTTTTAAACAAAAACTCTGCCCAGTGGTTTTTTAGCTGAAAGATGGTATCTCTACAGGCCGGTTGTTTTCTATAGAGAGGAAAGACAAGTAGAATTGTATCATACCGATCAAAGAGCTGATAAAAAATACAGCAACTGCTTTATGAGATGCCGAGTTTGTTATCAGATCATCTTTTTCCTGTTTCAGGCAGACACATCTTCGAAGTCTCTGCTACGGCCATGAAACCTCGGCTACCGGTGTCTGAAGATGACCTTTTAGTTTAGGGTTTTCTAACAACTGGCATCCTATTATTCGATCCTCCTGGGCCAATTCTAACGACATTGTTGGGCCTTAGCCGATGAATTTTTTTTTTTTAATTTTCCCTAAAATATGCTGACATAAATAAGCGATGGTCACTTCTGGTTGGCTCAAACATATTGGATTTCATTTTTTTTTTTTTGTAAATAAATAAAAAATTATAAATATTTGCATTCCAACTTTAAATCTACTATCACTCTTTAAAGATAATTATACAAATCAAATGAATTAAACTTTAAATTCTATTGGATTTCGTTTTTACAACAGAGTTTTACATTTCCTTCCTGTTCTTTTTTTTTTTTCTGCACTAATGTTTGTTAACAAAAAACTATGAACAAAATGTTTAATCTTGAAAGAGGTGAAATTGAAAATCAAACAAAATGATTGTTCTATCTGCATAAAGAAAAAAAAATCATTAGAAAGGGCCTAGCTGTATACATATGTTATGTCAGAGGAATTCATAAAAAGGCAAGTGCCAAATACTCTCTCATATCGGCCAGGTCCTTGATGAAGCAGACAGACCACTAAAAATGATGGGATGGATCCTAACCTCCAAGAAAACTACATAAAACAAAATGTTGGAATATAGGTGGCACCAGAATGTTGAAAATGAAGGTAAGGACCAGCCAATTTGGCAGGTTTAAAGTCAGTCAGCCATGTCTATGGTGCAGGGGAAAGAAAAAAAGAAAATATGTTGAACGATAATGGGAGAAAGCATTAAAAAAAAAAGCGCTCTCCACTGCCTCCACAAATGGCAAAGTTAGAGGGTGTTCTAGAATCAGAACTCCAGCAACCTTGAATGGGATTCGTTCATGAATCTGAGAACAGCTCACCATCAGGAAAGGCTTGAATCAGGTGAAAAAGAATAGCTCAAGAAAACAATCCAAGTGATTACATTTGTATACAAAATTTACTAGGCTATCAATGACCACCTCTGGTGTGTCATGGGAGTATATACCTGTAGCACAATAACTAATCTTACTTTCTTGGGACTGATTAAAAGCTGACTTAAAGAAAGTTAGATGGATCCAGTTTCCAATCAGAAAATGCTTCTATGGACCAAAGGAAAAGATTAGAATACAATTCATCATTGCTCTTCACCAAAAGCAGAAGCTAAATATATCTGGAAGCGAGTATTACCTCTGCCCTTTCGCATCCACTTTTGCTTGCTCCTGTTCAAAGGTTAGTCACAAGAACAGATCCTACCACCGCTGCATTGCCCCCAGAATATCCTGCAACCATAGGTAACATTTAAATACATCTAATTCTTGTAGTTTGAACTTTGAAGAGATCACATTGAAGCACATTAAAAAAACCTTTGATAAATTCCCGCGCTTCTTCCTTGCTGCATGGTTTTTCTCTGCTCATCCCTTTATAGACAACCACCTACACATAGAGGTAAGAAAAAACCTTATATAATTTCCAAGGACAACCAAGAAAAAGACCAGAAACACATATTTTATACAGTGCGGGCCAAAAATAATTATAGTAACCAACATAAGTTCTAATGAATGCCACCTTTATCAATTAAACTCTTTTTTTTCACGGCTGAGACATGAATGCTTTTCAGTGATGATTCCTGGTAATCACCGTATCTGCAGTAATTAACAAGGTCGTGTGAGCATCTTTCTCTAGCATACTACCAGTGTTCTGCAGCCTGGACATGATTGCAGCTGAATAGGAAAAAAGAAATTAGAACTCAGAAGCCATCAAAGGACAAAAACTGCTGAATGAAATGAAGAGATTCCTCGTGTACTGATGTAAACCATTGATTTAGGTTCTATCCCACAAAGTTAAATCACAAATCAAGACCTCTAGTGAAAAGCTGCTGAAGCTCTACATTGCAAATTCGAATAAAACATTGCTCACGTGAAAATGAAATAGTAAAACATGAGCAACAGTTCACTTGGGGAGAGAACTGAGAGTAATTAGGTAAAACAAAGCAAAAGAGGTCATCCCTTTGCCTCAGCAAGAGCCGTAACCAATTATTCGGGCTTTTCTTTTCTAATACTTTTCTCATCTATATCTGCAGTCTAAATCACATATTTAGTTAAATTTCTTCCAATAGAATTCTTCACTAGAGAAAATCCAAGTACTTTTCCTTCCCAAACATTCCCAAAAAAAAAAATTATGCTTAAAAGTTCAATTTTAAGCCAACTTCAAAACAAATTTTCAATCCAGAAAACCCCTTTTTTTTTTAAATCATTATTGAAAAACTCAACTTTTGTCCTTTAGTCGGAATCAGGGATGACTAGTTTAAGTATGGCAATTCCTTTCGAGAATTTTCTTTTCCTTTGGAAGTGACGTATATATATAACAGCCAGTAGCTTTAACAAATTAAATACCATGAATGTAAACTCATAACCCATTTCAGCTAGGATTCGTTGCCGGGCCACTGATGAAGAGCCCAATATTAGCTGTCATCAAATCAAATACCATAGTAATTGATTATGAAGAAACAAAAATTAATTCATGTCAAGAATATGGAGGAGCAAGTGAGGTGGTCTCTCTCTAGCTCCCTCCAAAATTTCTAATAAAACAATGCAACCCGATTTCCAAGCTAATAAATTGTCACAAACTTTAAGTTGACTCTGTTCCATTTGAAAAAAGCTTCAACTTTTCATTCCCTGAAAAAGCCAAGTTTTTTTTTAATTTTTTATTTAAGTTATGCTTGAACAGCCAATAAAATGCATGGAAATAAAGGGTGTTTGCCAATTTCAGTTTAAATTTTTATAAAGCTTTTGAGGTGAATTGAAGGTTAAAGAGTGAAACGAACCTTAAAAGATGATTCTCCCGCAGCCATTTCTCTCTTTTTCTCTTACAAGCTCCGCTTTCTTAGGGATGCTGCTTGGATAAGCTATGTATGCTTGAAAAGTGAAAACTACGCACTACCGAGTCTCCAAACACGTCGTATCTCCCACAGTTCACTTGCGACGGTTCATTCAATTCCTTCTTTCGAGGAAGACAACCAATAAGGATTAGCCGCGCGAGCAAAGGCTGTCTACCAAATTACCTAAAAACTCTTCTTCTGGAATCAAGACCATATCTACTGTACGCTGTCGTTTCGGTCACGTCAAAAAAGGAAGGCATTAGGTGAAACTACTAAACGACAACGTTTAGTTTAGTCTATGGTAAAGTAGTAAATTTCTCGCTGTCGTTTTGTAACGCTTTTTTCATCTTCCATTCCGAGCACTGTTCTTGCCGTGCAAGCTAGTATTTGCTTTTCCCTTGAATGGAGTATTTATATCTCAATTCTCTCACTTGGTTCATCATTTTTCACATTGATTTGGGTCTGCTTTTCTGTTAAGGTTTTACCCTGTTTCTACATCAACTTTTCACAGGCTTTTGCTTTAGACTAATTTCCCTTCGTTTGCTAGTGTAATTGTTATAACTTTGATGTCTTCCTTGTTTAGGTTCCAGCCAGGCTGATGGGGTCCGTGAAAAACCAAGCTGAAACTCACACCGCAGAATCTAAATCTGCTCCAAGTTGGACTTCTTTACGTCAAGGGTCGAAATCTGAGAAGGGATGGTTCGTGGCTAATAATAATAATGCTATCATCAATAATAAGTGGATTTCAGTGAGTTTTTTTACTGATGCCCCCATTGATGAACACGGTGATTGTTTCAAGGAAAATTTACAAAAGGTACGTAATTATTACAAGCATTTTTTTATTTTTGTTTTCTTTGCTTAACCACATGAAGTGGAAAAAAAAGAGATTCTTTTATTATTTACTTGTCGTTCTGATTAATCGCTTAATTATTTTGGTGGAAAACAGGTGATTGACAGATTGGACGACTGGGATTGCAAATGATAAATTTGCAATGATAAAAGTATTTTCTCTTTTCAGAAGAAAGATTATATCTGGCCGCAATAAACCTGGGAGTTCTCCCTGTCCCTTTCTCATAATAGCTAGAAAATAGAAAATCTTTCCCATGCTTTATTATTTGGGATTTGAAAGTTAGGCGCAACAGTTTTTCAGTGAACTGTTAGGTAACTGGGTTTTTTCCCCTTAGTTTTTAGGCATTGCAGCAAGAATTACTCTTTTTTTTACATGTCGGATTGGTATTTGAATCTTAAATTTGACGCATCGAATGTCATTTTTTAACAATAAATGATGATTGTATAAATTAATTAAATTAATTTTAAATTTAATTATTTTTTAACTATGATTTTGTTTCATTCTTCTTATTTACAGTCAAAATTATAATTCTCTTTCTCCTCTCTTCCCCATTGAACTGTAACTTTGAGGTTAATTTTAGGGCAATGTAGGGACAATGCTTCTTACCTGGTGTGAAAAGGAACAAATAAAATCAGTTGTATGACATTAAAAAAAAGGTGATAGTCAAATTTATCATTTATCATAGTGTCCTTATACGGGGTTCAGCAGATAAGAACATTACATCAAAAAGGACGAAAAAAGACAAGAAAGAATGTAAAGTAAGATAAATGGCAGCCGTTACTGTTGCATTTGTTAGAAATCTGATCTACAAATTTCAGTCATAACTCTTATATAAGTTGTTAGATTATAACAACTCTATTCCAATATTTCAGTTGTCAGGTAAAAAGTTTCGATCAAAAAATCATCAAAATCAACAAAAATAAAATTAATTAATTAATTATATAAATAGTTATGGTAATTTTAGACACAATACAATGATACGATACAAAAAATAATACAAAAAAATATTATGCGTTTTAAAAAATATTTTATGTTTATTAATATTAACACAAATTTTGATATGACACAATTCGTATCGTATATGTGTTGACTCATCTAAATACATAATACAACACGAATAATATGTTAAATTTAATTTTATTATACGAGTATATATTTAATATATTTAACACGTTTAACATATTTTTTATATTTATTTTAATTTAATATAAACATATAAAAATTATTTTAATTTTTAAGTTTTTAATTATGATACTTAATTAGCTATTTAATTTTATATAAAAATTATTTTAAACATTTAATTATGATGCTTATTTAATAATTATTATAAAATTATTTTTTATATTAATAATATAAATATAAGATAAATATTAATATTAGTCCTATATATTATTATTTTATTGTTTAATCTTTAATAGTTTATTATTTTGAATTTAATACTAAAAATTAATATAATTATATAACATAAATTAAACTATATATATATTAAATACATATTAAATAAGTATTAAATTTTTAAAATTTTTTAATATGTAAGTACTTTTTTATATTATTAATATGCGAAATTTATAAAATTGTAAATGATAGATAATTTATAATTAATTATTATTTTAGTCATATTTTTGTATATATTATTATTAGTCATATCTATTCCTATATATCCGTAATATTCGCATTTACTCATGTCGTGTTTAAATGAATTAATTTTGTGTCGCACGTAACAAATATATTAAATGTATCATATTCATGTTTAGGATTTAAACAAATTTTATAATTCGTGTCATGTTCGTGTTTTAATAATTAGTGTTATTACACATGTCAAACATGACATGTGACACGATAAGAAAACACAAATTATCAGGTCAATATATAAAAAACAAAAATTGAACGTATTTCAACCGAATCGCCTTACGTTCACAAATGAAAAAAAATATAAATTAGTTGTAGAATTACAAAGAAACAAATCATCAGCACTTAATACTAAACAAACAAATACTCATAAATCCTCACATTCTTTTTTAATCTTATGAAATATTTTCAACTTAAATAAGCACATACCCATGTGGCTCACCATACCTATGTAAATCTTTTTATTCTCTTCTAATCCACTTAAATATAAATACCGATAAAAATTTTCTCAATCTCCTTTAATTATATAGGATGTCTACCCACTAAAACACTATAAATCTCTTACATATTTATTTATGCATAGAGACTTCAATAATTTCTAAGTATAATAACTTGCCTATCAATAATCTATTTTCTCTTAGTATTTTTCTTTTTATAAATCTTTTTATCTATTAGATAATATCTAATCAATTTCAAATAAATTTTTTAATAGGATTTGAGTTGCTATTTTTCACAATATTGATCATTGTACCCTGAAATTTTAGATGCTTCGTTCTGTAAAATTTTTAAAAAATAAAAACAAAATTTAGTGCAAGATTAACAGATAAATCTAGTGCTACAAAATTTGGTAAGATTTGTTTGAAAAAAGTTTGATTTTAACTTGTCAGTTGGAATGAATCACAGTATGTAGGTGATGAAACTATTACTAATCAGAAAGAAAAAAAAAAAGAGAAGCATGTTTGAAGTGCAGACTAGATTAAAATCTAATCTTAATTTCACAAATTGAATTTCATCCCTGTGGCAGGAAATATTGAGACGATACTTCATCGCTTCAATGATGCACTGCCTTTTTCTCACGATCAAGTTATGCATCTAACATCTTTGAATTTAAGACAATTTTGGAACCAGTAAATGGAAATATAAATATGTTATCGCTCCTCTTCATTGTTGATGCCATTAATCCTGCTGCTTCCTCCATTTCTTCTACAATTAGGAAGGGGTACTTTGCCTGCTTCAATGCGCTTGATGTCATCTAAAAGGATTTCTTACTGCCTCTTTACTTCCTGCTCATTTGTCCCACAAACAAGCTTGGCTATTTTTAGCCATCGATCAGGAATATCCTTATTGTATATTGCCAGAGCATTCTCAAACAATTTGTGCTGCTCAGGCGTTCAAGATCTAGTTGCTGATGACCAAAGCCTTGATCAGAGCTAATCTGAATGAAGAAGAAGAAGAAGAAGAAGAAGAAGAAGAAGAAGAAGAAGAAGAAGAAAAATCGAAGGGAAATCCAAAGGCATAGAATTATATGGCAGATAAGTATGCACTGTGATTCAAGATTTAAAACTAAATGAGCAAAGAAAACTCTATTCGGGAACTGAATGATCCAGAAACAAGGCTTGATAGGTTGATGCAAGTTAACAAATAGAATTTTACAGCATATGTTATATGATAATTCAGCATCCACAATTTGGAGTGAAAGAAAGAGATTGGGAATTTGGGATCAATATTCCAAAGATGGTCAATTTCTTCTTTTTCAAATTTCTTCAATTAAGGTATAATTTATCAATTATCAGTACGATGTTATGATAATTATTAGCATGTTGGATTTCTTAAATAGATAATGCAGTTAACATGCTTGAAAGAAATGAATAATGAGCACTGACATGTGATAAATATATAGGTTAGATGAGCAAAACTCCAAAACCACTCCAATCTTCAAGGAAAAGATAGGAAAAAAGTGAAAAAAAAAAAAAAAAAAGGTGGTGAAAGCGTGAGAACAGTCTTGGGACTTTATAGTAGAGAATACTAGAAATAGCCAAGAAACTTAACAGGAAGAAGTTACGGAAAAATTCTCAACTCTTTCCTGCATATGCTCCTTTCAATACCAACTCTTGGGGATTAATTTCTAGTCGTTTCCTAGTAGTTTCTTTTATTATGAGGGAGACAAGAAGCCGGTCAAATGGTAATGGAGTACTGAAATTCATGCAGCTTCCCAATAATACTGGCTTTTCTTTTCGATAACTTTTCTCATCTATATCTGCAGTCTAAATCACATATTTAGTTAAGTTTTTTCCAATAGAATTATTCATTAGAGAAAATCCAAACGTTAAAAAAAATAATCATGCTTCAAAGCTCAATTTTAAGCCAACCTCAAAATAAATCAATCCAGAAAACCCATATATATTTTTAAATCATACTTGAAAAACCAACTTTTGTCCTTTACTTAGAATCAGGGCTGACTAGTTTAAGTATAGCAATATCTTTTTTATAATTTTTTTGCCCTTTTACAAGCCCTTTGGAAGTGATGTATATATATATACCAGCCAGTTGCTAACAAAATACCATCATTGCAAACTCATAACCCATTTCAGCTAGGATTCGTTGCCGAGCCATTGATGAAGAACCCAATATTATCTATCATCAAATAAAAAATATCATAGTAATTGGTTGTGAAGAAACAAAAATTAATTCATGTCAAGAGTATGGAGGAGCCAGGGAGGTGGTCTCTCTCTTGCTCCCTTCAAAATTTCTAATAAAAACAATGCAAACCAATTTCAAAGCTAAAAAATTGTCGCAAACTTTAAGGTTGAGCTCTGTTACATTGAAAAAGTATCAACTTTTCATTCCCTGAAAGACCAAGTTTTTCTTTTTTCTTTTTTTTTTTTTCATTTAAGTTATGCTTGAACAGCCAAGAAAATGCCTGGAAATAAAGATTAGCCACGCGAGCAAAGGCTGTATTCCAAAATTACCTAAAAACTCTTCTTCCGGAATCGAGACCATATGCACTGCACGCTGTCGTTTCAGTCACGTCAAAAAAGGAAGGCATTTTTGTGAAATTACTAAACGACAACGTTTAGTTTAGTCTATGGTAAAGCAGTAAATTTCTCGCTGTCGTTTTGTAACGCTTTTTTCATCTTCCTTTCCAAGCGCTGTTCTTGCCGTGCAAGCTAGTATTTGCTTTTCCGTTTAATGGAGTATTTATATCTCAATTCTCTCACTTGGTTCATCATTTTTCATATAGATTTGGTTTTGCTTTTCTGTTAAGGTTTTACCTGTTTCTACATCAACTTTTCACAATCTTTTGCTTTATACTAATTTCCCTTCGTTTGCTTGAGTAATTGTTATAACTTTGATGTCTTCCTTGTTTAGGTTGTAGCCAGGCTGATGGGATCCCAGAAAAACCGAGCTGAAACTCAAACCGCAGAATCTGAATCTGCTCCGGGTTCGACTTCTTTACATTTAGGTTGAAATCAGAGAAGGGATGGTTGGGGCTAATAGTATTAATAATAATAATAATAATAATATCATCAATAGTAAGTGGATTCAGTGAGTTTTTTTATTGATGCTTTGATTGATGAACACAGTGATTGTTTCAAGGAAAATTTACAAAAGGTACGTAATTATTACAAGCATTTTTTATTTTTGTTTTCTTTGCTTTACAACATGAAGTGGGAAAAAAAAGTGATTCTTTTGTTATTTACGAGTTGTTCTGATAAACGGCTTAATTATTTTGGTGGAAGATATTATTATTATTATTTTTGTTAGCCACGAACCATCTCTTCTCAGATTTCAACCCTTGAAGTAAAGAAGTGGATGATGCTCCCATTAATGAACACAGTGATCGTTTCAAGGAAAATTTACGTAATTATTACAAGCATTATTGATTCTTGTTTTCTTTGCTCAACAACATGAAGGGAAAAAAAAAGATTCTTTTGTTGTTTACTTCGTGTTCTGATTAATATTTAATTATTTTGGTGGAAAACAGGTGGTTGACAGATGGGACGGCTGGAATTGCAAATGATAAATTTGCAATGATAAAAGTATTTTCTCTTTTCAGAAGAAAGATTATATCTGGCCGCAATAAACCTGGCAGTCTCCCTGTAGAAAATCTTTCCCATGCTTTATTATTTGGGACCTGAAAGTTGGGTGCAACAGTTTTTCAGGGAAGTGTTAAATAACTGGGTTTTTTCCCCCTTTTTCTTAGACCTTACAGTAAGAATTACTCTATTTTTTACAAAAAAGCTGGAATTTGAGAATAAAGAAAAAGAATTGTAGGATTGAATTTTGAATTTTATGAATTGAATGTCATCTGATGCATAAATCAAATGAGTTAATTTTAAATTCAATTATCTCTTTTTTATCTATGAATTTGTTCTATTCATCCCATTTACAGCCAAAATTTAATTCTCTTTCGTCTATCTTGCCGGCTGAACTGTAACTTTGAGGTTAATTTTAAGGCAATGGAGGGTAGTACAAATTTCTTGACTATCTATGTTAGATGAGAAGGATTAGTATGTTGGGAAAATGCTTCTTATTTAGTGTGAAAAGGAGCAAATAAAATCAGTTGTATGACATTAAAAAAAAAAACCGGGTGAATAGTCAGATTTATCATAGTGTCCATTTACGGGGGTTGGTAGGTAAGAACATTACATCAAAAAGGAAATCAAAGGACAAGAAAAAATGTAAAGGAAGATAAATGGCTGCCTCTACTGTCGGATTTGTTAGAAATCTTATCTACAAGTTTCAAACATAGATTTGATATCAGTTGTTACGATTACGACAGTTCTGATTCTTATTTTTAGACAAAAACTCTTGCAAGTGATTTGTAAGCTTAAAGCTGGTTTCTCTACAGACCGGCTGTTCTCTATATAGAGGAAAAACAAGTAGAATTGTAGGCATCATAGCGAGCAAAGAGCTGATAGAAAAATACAGCAACTGCTTTCTGAGATGCCGAGTTTGTTATCAGATCATCTATTTCCTGTTTCAGGCAGACACATATTCGAGGTCTCTGCTACGGCCATGAAACCTCGGCTATTGGCGTCCGAAGATGACCTTTTAGTTTAGGGTTTTCCAACAACTGCCCTCCCCTCTATGCAATCCTCCTGCCAAAACATTTTTCTAACGACATTATATTGTTGGGCCTTAGGCTGATATATATTTTTTTATTTTCCCTAAAATATGCTGACATAAATAATCTTCAAATTTTACAACTAGGTCACTTCAGGTGAGCTCAAGCATATTGGATTTCATTTTCTTTTTTGGCAAATAAAAAAGAAGATTATAAGAATTTGCATTCGAATTTTAGATTTATTGATTGTTATAATAATTATATAAATTAAATGAATTAAATTTCGAAATTTATTGGACTTCATTTCTACGAGTTTTACATTTCCTTCCCCTTTTTTTTTTGGTACTAATGTATGTTAACAAACAACTACTAACAAAATGTTTAATCTTGAGAGAGGTGAAATCAAACAAAATAATTGTTCCATCTGCATAAGGAAAAAGAAAAACTTCATTAGAAAGGGCCTAGCTATATGCAGTCTATTTGGATGGAGATTCAAGCCAATAAATTCCGCATGGGTTCAAAAAGTCGCTTTTTCACGAAATTTGTCCTCAGCTCAAATTCGGAAAGGAAACTTGTTGACATAAAGCTTCCTGTATAAGTTTTTCTGTGAGAGATTTAGATAGTCCCATCACAGTATCAGTTGCCCCTATCTGCAAAACACTCAACATATGCTATGTCAGAGGAATTCATGCAAGGCAAGTGCCAAATACTCTCTCATCTTGAACAGATAACCTAGGGTCATTTACAGCCCTTGATGGAGCAGACAGACCACTAACAATGTTGAGGTGCATCCTAACATCCAATAAAACTATTTTGCGGACAATTTGTGGGGTTTAAAGTCAGTAAGCCATGTCTATGGTGCAGGGGAAAGAAACAAAAAAAAAAAATCATGTTGAACGATAATGGGAGAAAGAATTAAAAAAAAAAAGAAAAAAGCTCACCAGTGCCTCAACAAACGGCAAAGTTAGAGGGTGTTCTAGCATCAGACCTCCAGCAACCTTGAATGGGATTCCTTCATCAATCTGAGAACAGCTTGCCATCAAGAAAGACTTCAATCAGGTGAAAAAAAATAGCTCAAGAAAAAAAAAATCAAGCGATTACATTTGTATACAAATTTTACCAGGTTATCAATGACCTCCTCTGGTATTTGATGGAAGTATACCTGTAGCACAATAAATGATCCTATTCTCTTGGGACCGATTAGAAACTGACTTAAACAAAGGTGGAATGGATCCAGTTTCCAATTAGAAAATGCTTCTATTGACAATTCATCATTGCTCTTCACCAAAATCAGAAGCTAAATATATCTGGAAATAAGTAGTACCTCTGCACTTTCCCATCCACCTTTGCTTGCTCCTGTTCTAAGGTTGGTCACAACTCACAAGAACAGATCCTACCACTGCTGCATTGGCCCCAGAACACCCTGCAACCATAGGTAACATTTAATTACATCTAATTCTCGCAGTTTGAAGACATCACATCGAAGCACATTAAACAAACGTTACAAACCTTTGATAAATTCCCGCGCTTCTTCCTCGCCGCATGGTTTTTCTCTGATCATCCCTTTATAGACAACCTTATATAATTTCTATGGACAACCAAGAAAAAACCAGCAAATGGTGATACCTGTGACATATTTTATACAGGGCAGGCCAAAAATAATTATAGTAACCAACATAAGTTCTAATAAACGCCATCTTTATCGATTAAACTCTTTTTTTCTCACGGCTGAGATATGAATACTTTTCAGTGATGATTCTTGGTAATTACCGTATCTGCAGTTATTAACAAGGTCGTGTGAGCATCTTTCTCTAGCATACTGCTAGCGTTCTGGAGCCTTGGCGTGATGGCAGCTGCCTAGGAAAAAGAAATTACAAATCAGAAGCCATCAAAAAAACAAAAAATGCTGAATGAAATGAAGGGAATCCGCGTGTACTGATGTAAACCATTGATTTAGGTTCTATCCCATCAAGTCAAATCACAAATCAAGACCTCTAGTGAAAAGCTGCTGAAGCTCCAGCTTGCAAGTTCGAATAAAACATTACTCACGTGAAAATGAAATAGTAAAGCATGAGCAACGGTGCGCTTTGTGAGATAACTGAGAGTAATTACAATAGGTACAACAAAGCAAAAGAGATCATACCTTTGCCTCAGCAAGATCCGTCACCAATTCTTCGGGCTTTTCTTTTCTAATACTTTTCTCATCTATAGCTGCAGTCTAAATTACATATTTATTTAAATTTCTTCCAATAGAATTCTTCACTAGAGAAAATCCAAATACTTTTCCTTCCCAAACGTTTAAAAAAAAAAATCATGTTTAAAAGCTCAATTTCAAAGCCCCTTTGGAAGTGATGTACATATATCAGCCAGTAGCTCTAACAAAATACCATGATTGTAAACTCATAACCCATTTCAGCTAGGATTCGTTGCCGAGCCATTGATGAAGAACCCAACATTATCCGTCATCAAATCAAAATTATCATAGTAATTGATTGTGAAGAAACAAAAATTAATTCATGTCAAGAGTATGGAGGAGCCAGGGAGGTGGTCTTTCTCTTGCTCCCTTTAAATTTTCAAATAAAAACAATGCAAACCAATTTCAAAGCTAAAAAATTGTCACAAACTTTAAGGTTGAGCTCTGTTACATTGAAAAAGCATCGACTTTTCATTCCCTAAATAACCAAGTTTTTTTTTTTTTTTTCATTTAAGTTTTGATTGAACAGCCAAGAAAATGCCTAGAAACAAGGGTGTTTGCCATTTTCAGTTTTAAATTTTAATAAAGCTTTTGAGGTGAATTGAAGGTTAAACAGTGAAACGAACCTTAAAAGATGATTCTCCAGCAGCCATTTCTTTCTCTCACTCTCTTACAAGCTCCGATTTCTTAGGATGCTGCTCGGATAAGCAGTGCCTGAAAAGTGAAAACTACACGCTTCCAAGTCACCAAACACTCCGTATCTCCCACAGTTAGTTGCTTTCATTTAATTCCTTCTTTAGAGGAAGTCGACCAATAAGGATTAGCCGCGCGAGCAAAGGCTGTCTACCAAATTACCTAAAAACTCTTCTTCTGGAATCGAGACCATATCTACTGTACGCTGTCGTTCCAGTCACGTCGAAAAAGGAAGGCATTAGGTGAAACTACTAAACAACAACGTTTAGTTTAGTCTATGGTAAAGTAGTAAATTTCTCGCTGTCGTTTTGTACCGCTTTTTTCATCTTCCTTTCCATGCCCTGTTCTTACCGCGCAAGCTAGTATTTGCTTTTCCTGTAGTATTTATATCTCAATTCTCTCACTTGGTTCAGCATTTTTCGCATTGATATGGGTGGTTTGCTTTTCTGTTAAGGTTTTACCCTATTTCTACATCAACTTTTCACAGTCTTTTGCTTTATACTAATTTCCCTTCGTTTGCTTGTGTAATTGTTATAACTTTGATGTCTTCCTTGTTTAGGTTCTAGCCAGGCTGATGGGATGCCGGAAAAACCGAGCTGAAACTCAAACCGCAGAATTTGAATCTGCTCCAGGTTCGACTTCTTTACGTCAAGGGTTGAAATCTGAGAAGGGATGGTTCGTGGCTAATAATAATAATAATAATAAGTGGATTTCAGTGAGTTTTTCTATTGATGCTCCAATTGATGAACACGGTGATTGTTTCAAGGAAATTTTACAGAAGGTACGTAATTGTTACAAGCGTTTTTATTTTTGTTTTCTTTGCTTAACCACATGAAGTGGAAAAAAAAAAGGAGATTCTTTTGTTATTTACGTGTTGTTCTGATTAATGGCTTAATTATTTTGGTGGAAAACAAGTGATTTGATTGGCAGATGGGACGACCGGAATTGCAAATGATAAAAGTATTTTCTCTTTTCAGAAGAAAGATTATATCTGGCCGCAATAAACCTGGGAGTTCTCACTATCGCTTTCTCATAATAGCTAGAAAATAGGAAATCTTTCCCATGCTTTATTATTTGGGATTTGAAAGTTAAGTGCAACAGTTTTTCAGGAACTGTTAAATAACTGGGTTTTTTCCTCCTGTATTTCTTAGGCATTGTAGTTAGAATTACATTTTTTTTACGTGTAGAATTGATATTTAAATCTTAACTTTATAAATTGAATGTCATTTAAAAAAAAAATGATTGTATAAATTAATTGAATTAATTTTAAATTCAATTATCTCTTTTTTTTTTAACTATGATTTTGTTTCATTCTTCTTATTTACAGCCAAAATTATAATTCTCTTTCTCCTCTCTTCTTCGCTGAACTGTAACTTTGAGGTTAATTTTAGGGTGTGGTACAGATTTCTTGACTATCTATTTAGATGAGAAAGATTGGTATGCTGGGGAAATGCTTCTTACTTAGTGGGAAAAGGAACAAATAAAATCAGTTGTATGACATAAAAAAAGAAAAAGGGACAATCAGATTTATCATTTTTCATGGTGTCCACATAGGGGTTGGTAAGTGAGAACATTACATCAAAAAGGCAGAAAAAGGACAAGAAAGAATGTAAAGGAAGATAAATGCAAGCCTCTACTGTTGCATTTGTTAGAAATCCGATCTACAAGCTTTCAATATAGTTTTGATATCAGTTGTTAAGATTACAACAGCTCCGATTCTAGTTTTTAGACAAAAACTCTCTGGCAAGTCATTTGTATGCTGAAAGATGGTTTCTCTACAGCCGGTTGTTTTCTATAGAGGGGAAAGACAAGTAGAATTGTAGGCATCATAGCGAGCAAAAAGCTGATAGACAAATACAAAAACTGCTTTCTGAGATGCCGAGTTTGTTATCAGATCATCTGTTTCCTGTTTCAGGCAGAAACATATTCGAGGTCTCTACTACGGCCAAGAAACCTCGGCTATTGGTGTCTGAAGATGACCTTTTAGTTTAGGGTTTTCTAACAACTGCCCTCCTATTTATTCAATCCTCCTGGGCCTAAACACTTTTCTAACAACATTAGGTTGTTGGGCAGCAGCCCATGATTTTTTCAATTTTTTTTAAAAATAATTAATAAATCACATAAATTAAATTTCATTTCATTTCTACAACAGAGTTTTACATTTCCTTCCATTTTTTTTTTTGTGCTAATGTATGTTAACAAACAACTATGAACAAGTTCATATGTTTAATCTTGAAGAGGTGAAATTGAAAATCAAACAAAATGATTGTTCCATCTGTATACGAAAAAAAAATTTCATTAGAAAGGGCATAGCCGTATGCAGTCTATTTGGATGGGCATTCAAGTCCATAAATTCCTCTTGGGTTCAAAAAGTCGCTTGTTCACGAAATTTATCATCAGCTCACATTTAGAACGCCAGGTGGTGAACCTTGTTGAAATAGAGCTTCCTGTACAAAGTTTTTCTGTGAGAGATTTAGATGGTCCCATCACAGTATCACTTGCCCCTTTCTGCAAAACACTCAACATATGCTATGTCAGAGGAATTCATGAAAGGAAAGTGCCAAATACTTTCTCATATTGGCCAGGTCCTTGATGGAGCAGACAGACCACTAACAATGTTGGGATGGATCCTAACCTCCAATAAAACTACATAAACCAAAATCTGGGAATATAGGTGCCCCAGAATGTTGAAAATGAAGTTAAGAACCAGACAATTTGGGGGGTTTAAAGTCAGTTAGCCATGTTTATATTGCAGGGGAAAGAAACAAATAAGAAATTGTTGAACAACAATGGGAGAAAGAATCAAGAAAAACAAGCTCACCACTGCCTCAACAAATGGCAACGTTAGAGGGTGTTCTAGCATCAGACCTCCAGCAACCTTGAATGGGATTCCTTCATCAATCTGATAAAAGCTTGCCATCAAGAATGACTTGAATTGGGTGAAAAAGAATAGCTCAAGAGAAAAAAAAATCCAAGTGATTACGTTTGTATACAAATTTTACCAGGCTATCAATGACCTCCTCTGGTATATCATGGAAGTATGCCTGTAGCACAATAACTAATCTTATTCTCTTGGGACTGATTAGAGACTGACTTAAAGAAAGGTAGAATGGATCCAGTTTCCAATTAGAAAATGCTTCTATTAACAAGAGTTTATTCAGAAAAGAAAACTAAAGAAAAAGGAAAAAAAGTAAAGATTAGATTACAATTCATCATTGCTCTTCACCAAAAGCAGAAGCTAAATATATCTGGAAACAAGTAGTCCCTCTGCACCTTCCCATCCGCCTTTGCTTGCTCCTGTTCTAAGGTTAGTCACAAGAACAGATCCTACCACTGCTGCATTGCCTCCAGAATATCCTGCAAGCATAGGTAACATTTAAATACATCTAATTCTTGTAGTTTGAAGACATCATATTGAAGCACATTAAACAAACCTTTGATAAATTCCTGCGCTTCTTCCTCGCCACATGGTTTTTCTCTGATCATCCCTTTATAGACAACCACCTACATAAACAGGCAAGAAATAACCTTATATAATTTCCATGGACAACCAAGAAAAAGGCCAGCAACTGGTGATACCTGTGACATATTTTATACAGGGCAGGCCAAAAACCAACATAAGTTCTAATAAACGCTACCTTTATCAATTAAACTTTATTTTTTTTTCAGGGCTGAGATATAAATGCTTTTCAGTGATGATTCTTGGTGCACTTGTTAGCTAAATTAAAAAAAAAAAAAAAAAGATCCTTCAAATATAGAACAAGGCATTGAAGAATACCGTATCTGCAGTAATTAACAAGGTCGTGTGAGCATCTTTCTCTAGCATACTACCAGTGTTCTGGAGCCTTGAAATGATGGCAGCTGCCTGGGAAAAAAGAAATTGAAAACTCAGAAGCCATCAAAAGGACAAAAACTGCTGAATGAAATGAAGAGATACCTCGGTTACTGATGTAAACCATTGATTTAGGTTCTATACCATAAAGTCAAATCACAAATCAAGACCTCTAGTGAAAAGCTGCCGAAGCTCTACATTGCAAGTTCGAATAAAATATTGCTAACGTGAAAATGAAATAGTAAACCATTAACAACAGTGCACTTGGTGAGATAACTGAGAGTAATTACAATAGGTACAACAAAGCAAAAGAGGTCAGACCTTTGCCTCAGCAAGAGCTGTCACCAATTCTTCTGGCTTTTCTTTTGTAATACTTTTCTCATCTATATCTGCAGTCTAAATCACATATTTAGTTAAATTTCTTCCAACAGAATTCTTCCCTAGAGAAAATCCAAATACTTTTCCTTCCCAAACGTTTTGAAAAAAAAATCATGTTTAAAAGCTCAATTTCAAAGCCCCTTTGGAAGTGATGTACATATATCAGCCAGTAGCTTTAACAAAATACCATGATTGTAAACTCATAACCCATTTCAGCTAGGATTCGTTGCCGAGCCATTGATGAAGAACCCAATATTATCTGTCATCAAATCAAAATGTCATTATAATTGATTGTGAAGAAACAAAAATTAATTCATGTCAAGAGTATGGAGGAGCCAGGCAGGTGGTCTCTCTCTTGCTCCCTTTAAATTTTCAAATAAAAACAATGCAAACCAATTTCAATGCTAAAAAATTGTCGCAAACTTTAGGGTTGTGCTCTGTTACATTGAAAAAGCATAAACTTTTCATTCCCTAAAAAACCAAGCGTTTTTTTTCATTTAAGTTTTGATTGAACAGCCAAGAAATTCCTTGGAAAGAAAGGGTGTTTGCCATTTTCAGTTTAAATTGAATTGAATGTTAAACAGTGAAACGAACCTTAAAAGATGATTCTCCAGCAGCCATTTCTCTCTCTCTTACAAGCTCCGCTTTCTTAGGCATGCTGCTTGGATAAGCTGTGCCTAAAATGTGAAAACTACACGCTTCCACGTCTCCAAACACTCCGTATCTCCCACAGTTAGTTTGCTACGGTTCATTTAATTCCGTCTTTAGAGGAAGGCAAGCAATAAGGATTAGCCGCGCGAGCAAAGGCTGTCTACCAAATTATCTAAAAACTCTTCTTCTGGAATCGAGACCATATCTACTGTACGCTGTCGTTCCGGTCACGTCAGAAAGGAGGCAATTGTTGAAACTACTAAACGACAACGTTTAGTTTAGTCTATGGACAAGTGGTAAATTTCTCGTTATCGTTTTGTAACGCTTCTTCGGCTTCTTTCCCAAGCGCTGTTCTTGCCGCGCAAGCTAGGATTTTCTTTTCCCTTGAATGTAGTATTTATATCTCAATTCTCTCATTTGGTTCAGCATTTTTCAAGTTGATTTGGGTTTGCTTTTTTGTTAAGGTTTTACCCTGTTTCTACATCAACTTTTCAGTCTTTTGCTTTAGACTAATTTCCCTTCTTTTGCTCGAGTAATTGTTATAAATTTGATGTCTTCCTTGTTTAGGTTGTAGCCAAGCGGATGGGATCCCAGAAAAACCGAGCTGAAACTCAAACCGCATAATCTGAATCTGCTCCAGGTTCGACTTCTTTACGTCAAGGTTGAAATCTGAGAAGGGATGGTTGTGGCTAATAATAATAATAATAAAGTGGATTTCAGTGAGTTTTTTATTGATGCTCCCATTAATGAACACAGTGATTGTTGCAAGTAAAATTTACAAAAGGTACGTAATTATTACAAGCATTTTTTATTTTTGTTTTCTTTGCTTAACAACAGGAAGTGGGAAAAAAAAAAAAAAAGAGATTCTTTTGTTATTTACGTGTTGTTCTGATTAACGGCTTAATTATTTTGGTGGAAGATATTATTATTATTATTATTATTAGCCACGAACCCCCTATTCTCATATTTCAACCCTTCACGTAAATAAGTGGATTTCAGTGAGTTTTTTATTTCATTGATGAACACGGTGATTGTTTCAAGGAAAATTTACAGAAGGGACGTAATTATTACAAGCATTATTGATTTTTGTTTTCTTTGCTTCACAACATGAAGGGAAAAAAAAAGAGCTTCTTTTGTTATTTACGTGTTGTTCTGATTAATTACCTAATTATTTTGGTGGAAAACAGGTGATTGACAGATGGGACGACTGGAATTGCAAATGATAAATTGGCAATGATAAAAGTATTTTCTCTTTTGGGAAGAAAGATTATATCTGGACGCAATAAACCTGGGAGTTCTCCCTGTTCCTTTCTCAGAATAGCCGGAAAATAGAAAATCTTTCCCATGCTTTATTCTTTGGGACTTGAAAGTTGGGTGCAACAGTTTTTCAGGGAACTGTTAAATAACTGGGTTTTTTCCCCTTTTTTCTTAGGCATTGCAGTAAGAATTACTCTTTTTTTTTTTTACAAAAAAGCTGGAATTTGAGAATAAAGAAAAAGAATTGTCTGATTGAATTTTGAATTTTATGGATTGAATCTCATCTCATGCATAAATCAACTGAGTTAATTTTAAATTCAATTATCTCTTTTTTATGTATGATTTTGTTCTATTCATCCCATTTGCAGCCAAAATTATAATTCTCTTTCGTCTGTCTTGCCTGCTGAACTGTAACTTTGAGGTTAATTTAAACGCAATGGAGGGTAGTACAAATTTCTTGACTTCTATACTAGATGAGAAGGATTGGTATGTTGGGAAAATGCTTCTTATTTAGTGTGAAAAGCAACAAATAAAATCAGTTGTATGACATTAAAACAAAAAAAAAAGGTGATAGTCAGATTTATCATTTATCATAGTGTCGATATACGGGGTTGGTAGGTAAGAACATTACATCAAGGAAGAAAAAGGACAACAAAGAATGTAAAGGAAGATAAATGGCTGTCTCTTCTGTCGCATTTGTTTGAAATCCGATCTACAAGTTTCGAACATAGTTTTGATATCAGTTGTTAAAATTACGATGACTCTAGGTTATTAGACAAAAATTCTGGCGAGTGATTTGTAAGCTTAAAGCCGGTTTCTCTACAAAACGGTTGTTTTCTATAGAGAGGAAAGACAAGTAGAATTGTAGGCATCATGGCGAGCAAAGAGCTGAGAGAAAAATACAGCAACTGCTTTCTGAGATGCCAAGTTTGTTATCAGATCATCTTTTTCCTGTTTCAGGCAGACAAATATTCGAGGTCTCTGCTACGGCCATGAAACCTCGGCTATTGGTGTCTGAAGATGACCTTTTAGTTTAGGGTTTTCTAACAACTGCCCTCCCATTTATTCAACTCTCTGCCAAAACATTTTTCTAGCGGCATTATATTGTTGGGCCCTAGGCTGATGATTTTTTTTCCCCCAAAAAATGCTGACATAAATAAGCTTCAAATTCTATTTCTAGGTCACTTCAGTTGAGCTCAAGCATATTGGATTCTCTTTTTTTTGGCAAATAAAAAAGAAGATTACAAGGATTTGCATTCGAATTTTAGATTTATTGATTGTTATGATAATTATATGTATGAAATGAATTAAATTTCAAATTTTATTGGGATTTCATTTCTACAGAGTTTTACATTTCCTTTCTTCTTTTTTTTTGGTACTAATGTATGTTAACAAACAACTATTAACAAAATGTTTAATCTTGAGAGAGGTGAAAATCAAACAAAATGATTGTTCCATCTGCATAAGGAAAAAGAAAATTAGAAAGGGCCTAGCTATATGCAGTCTATTTGGATGGAGATTCAAGCCAATAAATTCCGCATGGGTTCAAAAAGTCGCTTGTTCACGAAATTTATCCTCAGCTCACATTCGGAAAGGGAACTTGTTGACAAAGAGCTTCCCGTATAAGTTTTTCTGTGAGAGATTTAGATAGTCCCATCACAGTATCAGTTGCCCCTATCTGCAAAACACTCAAACATATGCTATGTCAGAGCAATTTTGAGAGGCAAAGTTGCCAAATTACTCTCTCATATTGGCCAGGTCCTTCTTGGAACAGACAGACCACTAACAATGCTGGGATGGATCCTAACCTCCAATAAAACTACATAAACCAAAATCTGGGAATATAGGTGCCAATGAAGGTAAGGACCAGCCAATTTGGGGGGTTTAAAGTCAGTCAGCTCTGTTTATAGTGCAGGGGAAAGAAACAAAAGAAAAAACAAGTGGAAAAATAATGGGAGAAAGTAGCAAGAAAAACAAGCTCACCACTGCCTCAACAAATGGCAAAGTTAGAGGGTGTTCTTAGATCAGACCTCCAGCAACCTTGAATGGGATTCCTTCATCAATCTGAGAACAGCTCGCCATCAGGAAAGGCTGGAATCAAGAGAAAAAAAATCCAAGTGATTACATATGTATACAAATTTTACCAGGCTATCAATGGCCTCCTCTGGTATGTCATGAAAGTATACCTGTAGCACAATAACTAATCTTATTCTCTTGGGACTGATTAAAACTGACTTAAATAAAGGTAGAATGGATCCAGTTTCCAGGTTGAAAATGCTTCTATTGACAAGAATTTATTCAGAAAAGCAAACTAAAGAAAAAGGAAAAAAAAAGAAGTAAAGATTAGAATACAATTCATTATTGCTCTTCACCAAAAGCAGAAGCTAAATATATCTGGAAATAAGTATTACCTCTGCACCTTCCCATCCACCTTTGCTTGCTCCTGTTCTAAGGTTAGTCACAAGAACAGATCCTACCACTGCTGCATTGGCCCCAGAATATCCTGCAACCATAGGTAACATTTAAATACATCTAATTCTTGTAGTTGGAAGACATCACATTGAAGCACATTAAACAAACCTTTGATAAATTCCCTCGCTTCTTCCTCGCTGCATGGTTTTTCTCTGATCATCCCTTTATAGACGACCACCTACACATACAGGTAAGAAAAAACCTTATATAATTTCCATGGACAACCAAGAAAAAAACCAGCAAATGGTGATACCTGTGACATATTTTATACAAGGCAGGCCAAAAATAATTATAGTAACCAACATAAGTTCTAATAAACGCCATCTTTATCAATTAAGCTCGTTTTTTTTCGCTTTTTAGTGATGATTCTTGGTAATTACCGTATCTGCAGTAATTAACAAGGTCGTGTGAGCATCTTTCTCTAGCATACTACCAGTGTTCTGGAGCCTTGACATGATGGCAGTTGCCTAGGAAAAATGAAATTGAAACTCAGAAGCCATCAAAAGGACAAAACTGCTTAATGAAATGAAGAGATTCCTCGTGTACTGATGTAAGCCATTGATTTATTTTCTATCCTACAAAGTCAAATCACAAATCAAGACCTCTAGCGAAAAGCTGCTGAAGCTCTACATTGCAAGTTCGAATTAAATATTGTTCATGTGAAAATGAAATAGTAAAGAATTAACAACAGTGCGCTTTGTGAGATAACTGAGAGTAATTACAAAAGGTACAACAAAGCAAAAGAGGTCATACCTTTGCCTCAGCAAGAGCCATCACCAATTCTTCTGGCTTTTCTTTTCTAATACTTTTCTCATCTATATCTGCAGTCTAAATCACATATTTAGTTAAATTTCTTCCAATAGAATTCTTCACTAGAGAAAATCCAAAAGTTCAAAAAAAAATCATGCTTAAAAGCTCAATTTTAAGCCAACTTCAAAAGAATTTTCCAATCCAGAAAACCCATTTTTTTCTCAAATCATACTTGAAAAACCAACTTTTTTCCTTTAGTTAGAATCAGGGCTGACTAGTTTAAGTATGGCAATTCTTTTTGATAATTTTTTCCCCTTTTAAAGCCCCTTTGGAAGCCACATATATATATATACACACACACACACCAGCCAGTAGCTTTAACAAAATACCATGATTGTAAACTCATAACCCATTTCAGCTAGGATTCGTTGCCGAGCCATTGATGAAGAACCCAATATTATCTGGCATCAAATCAAATATCATAGCAATTGATTATGAAGAAACAAAAATTGATTCATGTCAAGAGTATGAAGGAGCAAGTGAGGTGGTCTCTCTTGCTCCCTTCGAAATTTCTAATAAAAACAATGCAAAACAATTTCAAAGCTAAAAAATTTTATCATAAACTTTAAGGTTGAGCTCTGTTCCATTGAAAAAAGCATCATCTTTTCATTCCCTGAAAAACCAAGTGTTCTTTTTCATTTAAGTTACGCTTGAACAGCCAAGAAAATGCCTGGAAATAAAGGGTGTTGGCCATTTTCGGTTTAAATTTTTATAAAGCTTTTGAGGTGAATTGAAGGTTTAACAGTGAAACGAACCTTAAAAGATGATTCTCCAGCAGCCATTTCTCTTTCTCTCTCACTCTCTTACAAGCTCCGCTTTCTTAGGGATACTGCTTGGATAAGCTGTGCCTGAAAAGTAAAAACTACACACTTCCTAGTCTCCAAACGCTTCGTATCTTCCACAGTTCACTTGCTACGGTTCTTTTAATTCCTTCTTTAGAGGAAGTCAACCAATAAGGATTTGCCGCGCGAGCAAAGGCTGTCTTCCAAAATTACCTAAAAACTCTTCTTTCAGAATCGCGACTATATCTACTGCACGCTGTCGTTTCAGTCACGTCAAAATTGGAAGGCATTAGGTGAAACTACTAAACGACAACGTTTAATTTAGTCTATGGTAAAGTCGTAAATTTCTCTTTGTCGTTTTGTAACTCTTCTTCATCTTCTTTTCCAAGCACTGTTCTGGCCGCGCTAGCTAGAATTTGCTTTATATCTCAATTACCTCACTTGGTTCAGCATTTTTCAAGTTGATTTGGGTTTGCCTTTTTGTTAAGGTTTTACCCTGTTTCTACATCAACTTTTTACGGTCTTTTGTTTAGACTAATTTCCCTTCGTTTGCTAGATTAATTGTTATAATTTTGATGTCTTCCTTGTTCAGGTTCTAGCCAGACTGATGGGATCCAAGAAAAACGAAGCTGAAACTCAATCCGCTGAATCTGAATTTGCTCCAGGTTCGACTTCTTTAAGTCTCAGGTGGAAATCTGAGAATGGAGGGCCCGTGGCTAATAAAAATAATTATCATAATATCATTTATAATAATAAGTGGATTTCGGTGAGTTTATTCATGCTCCCATTGACATTGATAAACACAGAGATTGTTTCAAGGAAAATTTACAAAAGGTACGTAATTATTACAAGCATTATTGATTTTTGTTTTGTTTGCTTAACAACATGAAGTGGAAAAAAAAAAAAAAAAAGAGATTCTTTAGTTATTTACGTGTTGTTCTGATTAATGGCTTAATTATTTTTGTTAGGAAACAGATGATTGACAGATGGGACGACTGGAATTGCGAATGATAAATTTGCAATGATAAAAGTATTTTCTCTTTTCAGAAGAAAGATTATATCTGGCCACAATAAACCTGGGAGTTTCCCTGTCCCTTTCTCGTAATAGCTAGGAAAATCTTTCCCATGCTTTATTATTTGGGATTTGAAAGTTAGGTGCAACAGTTTTTCAGGGAACTGTTAATTATCTGGGTTTTTTCCCCTTATTTCTTAGGCATTGCAGTAAGAATTACCAATTTTTTTTAACGTTGTATTGATATTTGAATATTAAATTTGATGGATTGAATATCATTTTTTTAAGAATAAATGATGATTGTATAAATTAATTAAATTAATTTTAAAGTTAATTATTAATTTCTAACTATGATTTTGTTTCTTTCTTCTTATTTGCAGCCAAAATTATAATTCTCTTTCTTCTCTCTTCCGCGCTGAAATGTAACTTTGAGGTTAATTTTAGGGCGTAGGACAGATTTCTTGACTATGTGAGAAAGATTAGTGGGAAAAGGAACAAATAAAATCAGTTGTATGACATAAAATGAAAAAAAGAAAAAAGTGAGTCAGATTTATCATTTATCGCAGTCCACATTGGGGTCGGTAGATAAGGACATTACATAAAAAGAAAGAAAAAGGACAACAAAGAATGTAAAGGAAGATAAATGGCAGCCTCATCTGTTGGATTTGTTAGAAATTCGATCTACAAGATTGAGAAATAGTTTTGATATCAATTGTTAAGGTTACAATAATTTTAATTTTAATTATTAGGTAAAAAATTTCAATCAAATAAATATCTAAACTAACGAAAGTGAAATAAAAAAATCAATTAATTATATAAAAAATAATAATTTAACGTATTTTAATCAAATCAACTTACACTCATGGATAAAAAAAAAGAGCAACTAATTATAAAAAATTACAAACAAATAATTAATTAATACTTAATACAAAACAAACTAATACCCATTGATCTTTTCATTTTCTTTTAATTTTATGAAATATTTTTAACTTAAATAAGCATATACTCGTGTGATTCATCATACTTATGTAGATTTTTTTATTCTCTTTTAGTATACTCAAACATATCCGCCTATAAAAAAATTTTCAATCTTTTCTTATAATATGAGATGTCTACCTAATAAAACTTATAAATTTTCTATATATTTTATTCATGCTTAATCCTACAGAAATTTCAATAATTTATAAGTATAATAACTCGTCTATTATGAATCATTTCCCTTTATAATTTTTTTCTTTACAAATCTTTTTATCCAGAAAATAATAATATGATTTGAGTCATTATTTTTAATAATTTTCACGTTAATAAAAATTTCATTAAATTATTAATTTTCATACTAAACATGTTTGGTTACACTTAGAATGTAAATCTCATAACAATCATCTCTTATATCTCCACATTACATGTAAATCAAATCTCAAAACATGAACTTAAACTTTTTTCTTGATTTAAATTCCTTTAGACTTGCATCTTCTCATATCTAAAACCTCGCTTGATAACAGTTGTTAGGAATCTTTTCTATAAGTTTTGAACATGGCTCTAGTAATAGTTGTCAGGATTGCGACAACTCTATTTCTAATTGTTATGCAAAAAATCTCAATTTAATAAACATTTAAGCCAATAGAAGTAAAATTAAATTATCAATCAATTACACAAAAAATAATAATTTTAGATGATTCAACTTAATCAGTCTACACCTTATGTCCATGGATAAGAAAAAAAATTTACTAGTTATGAAAAATCATAAATAAAAAAAATCATCAACACTTAATACCAAACCAAATAATACCTATGGACCTCTCATTATTCTCTAATCCGATGAAGCATTTTCAATTCAAACAAGCAGAAGTGGGTTACCATATTTATGTGAATTATTTCATTCTCTTTTAGTTTACTCAAACACATATGCCTACAAGAACTTTTTCAATCTCCTTTAGTTCTACCCAATAAAACTTTACAATTCTCTTAAAAATTTTTTTAATACCCAGAGATTCTAATTATTTATAAGTATAATAACTTATTTATCAAGAATTCATTTTCTCTTAAAATTTTTTTCTTTTAAATCTTCTTATTAATGAAGTTATATCTAATGAATCTCAAATAAATTTCTTATGAGATTTGAATCATTATTTCTAACAACATCAATCATTGTACACTAAAGCTTTAGATACTTTGTTTTGTAGAATTTTTAAAAAATAATAAAAACAAAAATTGGCACAAGATTAACTGATAAATCTAGTGCTACAAAATTTGATAAGATTTGTTTGAAAAAAGTTTGATTTTAACTTGTCAATTGGAATGAATCACAATATGTAGGTGATGAAACTGTTACTAATCAGAATGAACAATGGATAAGAGAAGCATGTTTGAAGTGCAGACCAGATTAAAATCTAAGATTAACTCCACATATTGAATTTCATTCCTGTGGCAGGAAAACTTGAGATGATGCTTCATCACTCCAATGATGCACTGCCCTTTTCCCACAAGCAAATTGATGCATCTAACAACTTTGAATTTATGACAATTTTGGAACAGGTAAATGGAAATATGAATATGTTACCTCTCCTCTTCATTGTTAATGACATTAATCCTGCTGCTTCCTCCATTCTTCTATACTTAGGAAGGGGTACTTTGCATGATTCAATGCGCTTGATGTCACCTAAGAGGATTTCATACTGCCTCTTTACCACCAACAAGCTTGGCTATTTTGCCATCGATCAGGAATATCCTTATCGTATATTGCCAGAGTATTCTCAAACAATTTGTTCTGCTCAGGCGTTCAATTTAAGTTGTAGGAAGAGGAAGAACATTGGCTAGATCCCATTTTGTTACCAGAAAAAGGATAATCCAGTTGCTGATGACCAAAGCCTTGATCAGTGCTAATCTGATTGAAGAAGAAGAAAAACGGAAGGGAAATCCAAAGGCATAAAATTATATGGCAGATAAGCATACACTGTGATTCAAGATAGAAGACTCAATGAGCAAAGAAAACTCCATTTGGGCACTGAATGATCCGGAAACAAGGCTTGATAGGTTGATGCTAGTTACCAAATAGAATTTTACAGCATATATTATATGATAATTCATCATCCACAATTTGAAGTGAGAGGGAAAGACTGGGAATTTGGGATCAATATTCCAAGGATGGTCAATTTTTTCATTTTCAAGTTTCTTCAATTCAGGTATAGTTTATCAATTATAAGTACGATGTTGTGATAATTTATTAGCAAGTTGGATTTCTTAAATAGATAATGCAGTTGACATGCTTGAAAGAAATGAACCTACTGAGCACTGACATGTTATAAATATATAGGTTAGATGACCAAAACTCAAAAACCACTCCAATCTTCAAGGAAATGATAGGAAAATGTGGAGGAAAAAAAAGCTGGTGAAAGCTGTGAGAGCAAGCTTGGAACTTTGTAGTAGAGAATACTAGAAATACCCAAGAAACTTAACAGGAAGAAGTTATGGAAAAATTCTCAACTCTTTCCTACATATGGCTCTTTCAATACCAACTCTTGGGGATTACTTTCTAGTGGTTTCCTAGTAGTTTCTTTTATCATGAGGGATACAAGAAGCAAAATGGTCAAAAAGTAATGGAGAACTGAAATTCTTGCAGCTTCCCAATAATACTAGTCACTCACCAATGTGCAAACAAGCCTTTACCTAGTGAATTGGAATTGCATATAGATACAAACATTCATTTTTATCTTAATCATTACTGCTAATTTTGCAGTTTGATCTCCAAACAATCAGAAATCATTACTGCAAAGAGCTAGACAGAGATGAATCACGATGCCAGCCAAACAATGAAGTTCCAGATCGTTATACATAGGGATGTAGATATTAATCTTTTTTTCCTGTCAAGTTGTTCTGCTTTTTCATTGACTAAATTCAGTGAACATTGATTTCAATACTCCGTGAAAGAGTTGCATGTTGGCCTTATCCAAAGAAAAACTTTGAAACTACAAGGCTGATTGTTGAGGAA